TGCTTCAAATTCATTGTTTGTTACTGGTTTGTTCAGGCTTTCTGCTTCTTCATTCAGTTTTGGAAGATTATACTTTTCTATAAATGTGTCAATTTCATCCAGGTTTTCAAATTTCTTGGCATACAGTTGTTCATAGCAATTTCTTACAATTCTTTGTATTTCTGTGGCATCAGTTGTAATCTGTTTCCCTTTTGTTTCTCATTTTATTTATTTGGATCCTTTCTCTTTTTTTAGTTTGGTTAAAGGCTTGTCAATTTATTTATCTTTTCAAAGAACCAGCTCCTAGATTTATTGATTCTTTGACTTGTTCTTTTAGTCTCTGTCATTCATTTCTGCTCTGATCTTGATTATTTCCTTCCTTCTACTTGCTCTGGGCTTCATTTGTCATTGTTCCTCCAGTTTCTGTAGATGTAGCATTGGTTGGTTTATTTGGAATGTTTCTATCTTTTTCGGTAGGCCTCCCTCCCTCCCATTGGTTTTAGACCGTCATGTGTTCATTTTCATTTGTTTCCAGAAACTTTTTGATGTCTTCCTTGACTTCATTCTTAACCCATTCATTGTTTAATAGAATGTTATTCAGCCTCAATGAGTTTGAATATTTGGGGGGTTGTTTTTTTTGAGGTTGGCTTCTGGTTTCAAGCCCTTGTGGTCTGAGAAAATGCTATATATGATTTCAATTATTTTGAATTTGTTGAAGTTTACTTTGTGTCCTATCATGTGATCTATCTTTGAAAATATTCCATGTGCATTTGAAAAGAATATGTATTTCGCTTTGGGATAAAAGGTTATATATATATATATATATATGTAATCAGTTAAGTCCATTTGATCTAATGCATCATTCAGTTTCACAATGTCCTTGTTGATATTTTATTTGGAAGATCTCTCTATTGTTGACAGTGGGGTTCTAAAATTCCCTAGTATAAGTGTGTTGCTGTCTATAACTTTCCTGAAGTCCTCTAAGATTTTTCTTATATATCAGAGTGTTCCTATGTTGACTACATATATGTTTACAATATTCATGCCTTCTTGAAGGATTCTTCCCTTGAGTATTATGAAGTGTTCTTCTCTGTGTCTTCTTGTGGCCTTTGTTTTAAAGTCTGATATAAGTATTGCTACCCTAGCTTTCTTTTCCTGTCCATTTGTTTAAAATATTTTTTCCAACACTTCACTTTCAGTCTGTGTACATCTTTTGTTCTGAGGTGGGTCTCTTGTAGGCAGCATATCAGTGGGTTATGTTTTCTCATCCATTCAGCTACCTTATGTCTTTTGACTGGAGCATTTAAGGTTATTTTTAATAGATACTTATTCATTGTCTTTTTACTTCCTTTGTACTTGTGTTCCTTTCTCTCTCTCACCTTTTTTCTTCTTAAAGCAGTCTCTTTAGCATATCTTGCAAGGTTGGTTTAGTGAAGGTGTATTCTTTTAGCCTTCTGGCTGGCAAAGTCCTTACTTTGCCTTAAGTACGGAGTTTGCCAATGCCAGCCAAACTCCTTACTTAAGGCAAATTAAGTAAGGAGTTTGGCTTACTTAAGTAACTCCATTTTAATTGAGAGCCCCTCTGGGTAGAGTAGTCTTGGTTGCAGGCCTTTGCTTTTCATTACATGGAATATATGATGCCATTCCCTTCTGTCTTGTAGTGTTTCCATTGAGAAGTCAGGTGCTAACATTTTCAGGGCTCCTTTGTATGTCACTTCCTGTTTCTCCCTTGCTGCCTTTAAGATTCTCCATTTGTCTTTGAATTTTGCCATCTTAATAATGATGTGTCTTGGAGTGGGATTCTTCAGGTTCCTCTTGATTGAGACCTCCAGTGCTTCCTGGACTTATGCGCCTTTTTCTCTCATCAAATTAGGGAAGTTTTCCTTCACTACTTTTTCAAACAGGTTTTCTATCCCTTGCTCTTCTTATCTCCTTCTGGAATCCCTATTATAAGGATACTATTATCTATTATGTTGTCCTGCAGCTCCCTTAACCCCTCTTTGTTCATTTTTAGTCTTTTTCCCTTTTCTTGCTCTTTCTGGGAATTTTTTCCTACTTTTTTCTTTAGCTCACCTGTTTAATCTTCTGCTTCACCTAGTTTGCTTTTGATTCCTTCTATTGTGTTCTTCAGTTCACAAATTGTATTCATTTCTTCTTAGCTCTTGTTGATATTTTCTATGTTCTTTTTCATGCTGATATAATTTGCAGTAAGTTCCTCATAGTTTCCCTGTAATTTTTGGTAATTCTCAGTGAGCTCATTGAGCTTCTTTATAACCATTGTTTTGAACTTGATATCTGATAGTTGGCTCACCTCTCTTTCATTTAGCACTATTTCTGAGGATTCCTCCTTTCCTTTTTATTGGGGGTTGTTTCTTTGTCTTCCCATTATTTATGAGATTCTTCTTGGTTGCTTCTGCATCTTAAATTGATCCGATTTGATCCCTGACTTTGTAGTATGACCTTCTATGGTAGGAGACTGTGAGATTCAGTGGTGCAGTTTCCTTGGTCTCCCAAACTTTATGCTTTTAGGATGCCCTTTATGCTACTTATGTTGGCTCTCTGGATGTAACTGAGTTTTGATTGTTGTTGGGTCATTCTTTGGTGGGTCTTTCCCTCCACCTGGTTTTCTGAGGGTCACTCTGCCTACCACATCTTGTATGCATTGTGCAGGTGCTGCCAGAACAAAACCACAAAGCCCAGGAAACCAACCCACTCCTGCAAAAATAACTCCCCCCTCTGCAACCCCACTATCAACAGCAAATGAACCAGTATTAATAAGTGCATAAGGAGATTGAGAGCATTATAAGAAAGGATAGAGAATATGACATGACCTACTAAAAAACTGTTTTGAGAGGGGTGAGGGAGGAGAACTGATACAAGTGGGGAGTCAGAAAAATGCAAAGAAAGTAAAATTTACATCATGAATAAAAAATGGAATAAAGAAAATAGAGTATGCACAAATTTGATGGACAAGAAATGAATGTTACAAAGCTATACAGGGAAGAAAACATCACAAATCATGGAGAAGACCACAGTGAATTCTGTCTCTTTAGCCTTTAGTATTTACTACTGGTTTTTTTTCTTTCTTTCTGGATCTACCTCTGGTGATATCAGATTTGACCTTAGGCAGCCTGTTTGAGACTTCCAGGGATCTACAGTCTGTGGCTGGCTTCCTCAGTTATGAATCTAGTCACTCTGCACTCAGCAGTCAGGCTTAAGCACCACAGAACCAGAGCAGAGTCTCTTCTGGGGGTGGGACTGTTGTTTTCCCTCAGGCTGCTGCTGCTTGGAGGGGAGTGGTCTACCTGAGCTTGATGGCTGCTCCTGTATGGGGGATGATGCACCACCAGGATCCCAGTGGCTACTCTTTCAGTTCTCTCCCCAAAGTTTCCATCCCATCTCTCTTCAGGCATCTCTAGCCCACTCTGCTCCCCTTCCTTGGATGAAACAGGGTAAGTGGCTGCAAATGAAAATTTGTGTGTTAGCCCTTTTAACAACTCTTTGCATCTCCATCCATCTGTCTCTGACAGAGAGCAGCCCTGCTGCTTTTTTCTACTGGTTGTTGTCTGTGTACTTTCTGGGTTCTCGTGCTCTAGGCTGGGGATTCCAGCTTAGTGTTTAGACTCCACTCTTCCAAGGGGAATCCAACTGGTTGCTTAGTTAGCCTTTCAGTGCTGCTGCCTGTGGGAACATAGCCAGCCTTCTGAAGTCTCCACCATACTCCTAACCAATAACGTTGTGCTGAAGCTGATTCTTTTCTCTGTCCAAGGTTATAAGACCTCTCTCTCTCACTATTGTTCCATTGTTTGGTCTGTGTGATTTCTCCACAATTTAGTTGAAATTCCAGATTGGTCCCAGGAGAGATTAGTGTGACTTCTATTCACTCCTCTGCCATCTTGCCAAATCCTAATTTATATTTTTAATGTTACAGATATGCCCTGAAGAGTTGTGCCTTTGTTTTATTCTCCCTTTGTAATAGTACCCATTGAATATATTTTTCTAATGCAATGTTTGGCACTTGACAATCAATCGGTATATGTTAATTGAATGAGAAAAATTATTAATTAGTTATGAATGGGAGATTTTGCATATATAAACATGCAAACCATCTAAACATATGTATGTACTTAGATAATAAGATAAGCAAATATAATGAAGATTTAAAAATAGAAGGTTTATATAAGATTGAAGTTTCTTTATTTCTAGTAGCAAGTAGATGGTTCTGCTCCACATGATCATTCAGGAAGACACTCTTTTGTGTCAGATTACATCTGCCATCTTCTATTCAAGGCTTTTATTTTTGGCCCAAAGGTGATACTCCAATTGTTTCCATTTCATAGCCAAATAAAAGCATTAAAAAAATATCCAGGTCAGGTTTATTTGATTTAATGTGTGGAAAGTTGCAAAAATCACTTCCTTTCATATTCCATAGTTCTTAACCTAGTCCACTGCCACATCTATCTATAAATGATGCTGAAAAAATGTAGTCTGTAGCCCTGGGTAGCTACTTGATAGCATAAAATTCAGAAAGTTCTATTATTTAAAGGATAAAGAGAATGGATATAAGGATAGCAGTCTCACCCATAAGTAAAAGCTCCAAGTTAGAAGGTTTTTTTAAAAAAATTCATTAATGTACAATAACATGTAGAAGTTTTATTTTATGAGAGTGAGTATTGTTACTATTGAAATAAATATTTTCTTCAATATTTGAACATTATAAAAATATCAGTTTTATTTTGATAGTGTATATTAGTAAAACCTTTTTTGAATTTATATGTTAAAACAGTTGTCACCATTTCCCTTCATTCATTCATTTAGGATTTATGGAATTCTTGTTATAAAGCAGACAGTGATTTAGATGGATATCGTAGTAACTATATTGTGACTTTTCATCTCTACATGATTAAATGGAAAAATATAATTTAATAAAGTGTTATGAAAAATAAGATTTTAGTATGAGCTTATTTAACATTCAGGGTAAATAAATGATCAAATATATATGTTTTTCTATCCTACAATAGGTTCTTCGGGTGGTTCGGCTTATTAAGATTTCACCTGCATTAGAAGACTTTGTGTACAAGATATTTGGTCCTGGGAAAAAGCTTGGGAGTTTGGTTGTATTTACTGCCAGCCTCTTGATTGTTATGTCAGCAATTAGTTTGCAGATGTTCTGCTTTGTTGAAGAACTGGACAGATTTACAACCTTTCCAAGGGTAAGAACAAAAATGTAGTTTAGTCTATGATTTTTACTTTAGTAGTAATGATTAACATCAAAGTAATTTTAACAATGGTTCAAAACTATATTTTTGATAACAGAATAACTACCTCATTTTTGATATTCAAAATGGTCTTTTCTGCAGGGTGCAGATGTTTGAGAATATTTTTAGATCATGCATTAATTCTAAAACTCTGGAAATAATAGGATGAGATGCTGAAACCAGTAAAGACTGATAGTGGCATTCTTATCACCTAGGTTTAATGACCAAGATAAAAGAAAGTATATATCTTCATCATAAGCTGACATAATAAGGCCTATTATACAGGAAATATAATCTTGGAGTAAGAATAACACCTTTTTTAATTAAGCTTTGAAGGCAAAGATGTCTATACTCTTAGCAGATATACTAAGTTACCCTGAGTTATTATAATTTTTTTTACCTTATGCTGAATTTGTTACTCATTGCCAAGCATTTGTTGAGTGCCTATGAAGAGCCAGGCAATTTTGGTCAACCTAGGATATAAATACAACTAATTCCTCAGTCCTCAAGAAATTCTCAGTTGAATGGAGTAACCAGTAAATAAATATAAAGTCTTGATAAAGGCAAGCACAAGGCACTGTGGGAATACAGAGGTAAGATCCCTGACTAGGAATGGTGAAATACAATAAGTTTCTTGGAACAGGGGGTTACTGAAGACCAGTTACATGTAGCCAATTGAAGTGTAAGAGTGTGGTGTTTCCAGTTGTGGGGACAGCATGTGATAAAGGTTGGGGGTGAGCCATTTCTTATTCCAGAACTTAAAGGAGAAAGAGTTAATTGCACGAGGAGAAGATAAGGCCAAGAACTTTTAAATGAAATAAAGTGTAATCATCTTTAAAAGCTAATGAGAGAGAACAAGTAGAAGTCAAGGTTAAAGATGTATGAGATAAATACAACCATAACAAAAGGTTCCTGAAGGTTACATGCAGAGCACTGACACTGAGGTGAGTTCAGTGTTAGGTGTTGATCTGTCAGGTGTCGAGGTGTCATGTAGAACAACAAACCAAAGTCACAATGACCTTTTGTTCATTTTCTCCCACAGTGCAATAAAGGGGCAGAAGTAGGAACTGGCTCTTAAATCTTCCATTGTCCCCTGAACAGCACTGGGTGAGGGCCATGTGGATTAGCACAGATATGGTTGGGAGGGAGGTATCTTTGCTTGCAAAGCCTTGTCATTACCATGGTCTGGCCACATAGGATGCCTGGAGCTATCAGCTGATCCATTTTTTTCTCCAAAGATGAGATATGCAAGCAAAGGTGACAATAATTACCATGTTTGTCTCTTAGTCTGCCCCTCACTGGGCAAATACAAATTTCAGACCATGGTAACACTAAGACTGTTACCATAGTCCATCTCTCAGGAGTTTAATTCAGTAAACAGTGTTAAAGGCACATTTTAACAAGTCTCTTCGTGCCATCGATTGTTTAAGGCATGTGGGATACTAAAAGTAAAACAACCCTCAGTTCTCTTTTTTATTTACACAGTCTTATCTTAATTTATATCTTATCTTCATCTTTAACCAGTTCCTCTAATCTTACCTCACCGATATTATATTTTTGACCCAAAACCACTTAGAGCCAGATTGGTTTTAGAGTTTAGAATATTTGGATCATAAGGGTGATATCACCCTCTAAGTTGTCTGAATCAGCATCCTATAATCAACACATTCATATTTCTATAGCAAAATATCAACCTTCACATAAAAGATAAATAAAGATAATGTCTTAGGTTAGATCAAGTTTTTGCTCCTAAATGAAAAAGGAAGGAAGGAAGGAAGGAAGGAAGGAAGGAAGGAAGGAAGGAAGGAAGGAAGGAAGGAAGGAAGGAAGGAAGGAAGGGAGAGAGAAAGAGAGAAAAAAGGGAAGGGAAGGGAAGGGAAGGGAAGGGAAGGGAAGGGAAGGGAAGGGAAGGGAAGGGAAGGGAAGGGAAGGGAAGGGAAGGGAAGGGAAGGGAAGGGAAGGGAAGGGAAGGGAAGGGAAGGGAAGGGAAGGGAAGGGAATCTTTGAGTAGTTTCAGAAATATTTGAATACTGGAGTTGTGAATAAGGACTGTTGGCAAGTATGAAAAAAATCATTGCAGATAAGACTCTGAACTTCTTTCCCACAAGTCCAGTTTCACATTACCGCTTCATAACTTTTTAGCTATGTGACACTGGATAAATCAGTCTTTATGCTTTATTTTCACATCTAAATTATAGGTGAATGTAATATTTCCTCATAGTATTGTGTATATTGAATGAAAACACACCAACAAACACAATAGAACTCTGGGCTTGGAAAGCATAAAAAAATTGTATCCCAAGTTATACATCTGAAGTTGGTATTTTAGTCTCTGTGTAAGAGACAAGGCTGCTTTAGAACTGTCTCTGACTTAACCTTTTGGGATTTGCTCTATTTTCCAGCCATAACAGTAATCAAGTAGCATTGCATTTTCATATCTCCAGTTACTCAATTGTGCCTTTCTGCCTGATTACTTTGACCATTTGATGAAAGCAGCCAGGGACTGTGGGGTCCCCTAATCAGTTTTTCAACAGCTGACAGTGTGGATAGCCTAAGTATGTGAAGTGATAAGAAGCAGGCTTTTTCTTGCACATGAGAATAATTAAGAATTAAGTACCTAAAAATTGTCTTATAAAATGTTAAAGTCATTACAATTACAAAAGTTAGCCATTATTATTCCCAGTCGAATAATAATCACCATCAGTAGGCAATACTTGCCTGATAGGAAGTCATCAGGAAGGATGGCTAAAAACACTTTCTGGCAATTCTAGATTTCTGTTTAGATACTCCCCAGTACATGGATCTTACTCCCTTCTCTTCTTTGACATCTCCCTCATTATCCAGTGCTTGGTTATTGAGGTATGTTAGTTAATTACAGTACGTATAAAAGCACAGCCCATTAAGAGAAGCAATACTCTATTTAAAAAATCACATACTTCTAAACATAAGCTAGGAACTTTTAAAAGTCAGCAGTTGTTTATATTTACTTGGCTTCAGGCTATCTTGGAGGCTGACTACCACCACCAGACATAGAGCTACAGGATGCAAGAGAGTAAACTGTGAGAGCACTTGAGAGATTCTAAAAGAGAACCAGCCATGAAGAAAGAGTCCAGCAAAGGCGGGACAAGCCTGACTTAGCAAAGGGGACTCAGTGTTTGTGCAGAGGAAAATCATTTTTCTCTGTTTCCCACACCTGATCTTGACCCAGCCTTCTAGATGGCATACTCTCTCTAGGAAATAGAACTAGATGTCAAATAAACACTGGATTGGTTGGACCTTGTTGTATCTTGGGCCCCAGTAACATGTCATTAAATCCTTCTAAGATAACCTGGCATGTACATGTAGAGGTGATTTCTCCATCCAAACTTCCAAAAGAGAATCCTGGAAAGGCAGGGGACCAGTAGAGAAAAAAGCCACCCAGGCACACCAAGTAACAATCCACTGCATTCACTCTCTAATAGAACTTTACTCACATTGAAATACCCTAGGTACTTCCAGAAATACTGGAGGGTGAAGGGGGTTCTAAAGGAATCTCTCACTTGCATTCTATGGGTTCTCCAATAGGTCTACCTGCCTCTGTTGGGCACTTCAGTCCATTTTCCATTTGAAGTAAAAATGATCCTTCTAAAATGTTTCATCACACTACCCTGTTTAAAATACTTCAAGGTTCTCCTTTCACTCAAGATTACAAATCTTTTAATATGTCTTTCAATATCTTTTCATCTCTGGTCCTATTTACCTCTTCAAACTCATATTTCAGAACTTTCTCCACTACAACTTTCAAAGGCAGAGATGGTGTCTATCTTGCTTAATAAGTCCTCCCCACTTAGCACAATACTTGACACAAGATAGCTAAAAATAAGATTCTGATGAAGAATTAATAATAATACTGGACCAAAACAAATATCTGTTCTATTCTTTTTCTAACAGGCCAACTAGCTAGGTTCTATCTTCCACTGTTGTCTACTTCTCCAGGGCCCCTCCATTAGTTTCATCACTGCTCTTACCTTTTGTCCCACTTGAAATGTCTACATAATTCTGTAAGAAAATTTTGGCAGCAAGTGGCAGAAATCTTAACTCCAACCAACTTATGAAATTTATCTCACAAAATTCCAGACATTAGGTACACTTCAGGAAGCCAGGGCTCTGGATCATACATTGAAATTCTCTCATGTATTGTTATGGGTTGAATTGTGTGCCCCAGAAGATATATTGAAAGCCTAATGCCCAGGACTCCAAAATGGGACTTTATTTGGAAATAGAGTTCATCAAACTAAAATGAGATTATGAGAGTGGGCCCTAATCCAATATTACTGATATTCTATAAAACAGAGACATTTGGATCTTACATAAATTTCCAGCCAAGATGGAAGCATAGGTAGACACACTTCCTCACACAACCGAAAGAAGGACAACAACAGATTTAAAAAAAACAACCAGAAGTGCCAGGAAATTGAACTGTATAAAAGTGCAACAATGAAGGAGTTAAAGAAGAAACATTCATCCACCAGTAGGAAGGGTAAAGATGGGCAGCTGGAAAGGACTCACAGCAAGGCAGTGGCTGGTAGAGTCAGCAGTCCCACATTCACATGCAGATAAACTGGGAAGCAAGACAGACTGCACAACCCAGGGTCCCAGCATGGGAAAATAAAGCCTCAAAACCTCTGACTGACAAAACCTGTGTGGGTTGTGGAATCAGGAGAAACTCCCAGCCTCACAGGAGAATTCATTGGAGAGACTCACCCCCTCGGAATCAGCACCAGAAGAGCCCAATTTGCTTGTGGGTAGCCCCAGAAGTGACTGAAAGCTGGCAGAGAGCAAAGCAAGAGGCACTGTTCCCTCTAGGACCCCTCCCCCACTAACAGCATTACAACACAGAGATGTGGGTTGCCCACCCTGGTGAATACCTAAAGCTCCCCCCACCCCTTACCACATAACAGGAACAGAGAGACAAA